GCTCTGAAGATCGACGATCCCAAATTTGTGCTGAGGATCTGATGATTCACACCTCTTTCTAAATAAGTATCTGTGCAGCTCTTTTACCGGCTTTGAACCAGGTTATTAGTATTCTTAGTACTCAGTTGTTTGAGCTGTTTGAATTAGTTACTGTATTAGGCAGGGCTCCCTAAAGGATCAAAACCAATACAAAATGTGTGTAATACAATATATGGGTTATATATTGTATGTAAAGGGATTATATTCGTTCAGCACACACAGTAGAGGCCCTGAAGTGCAAGAGTGGTTGTCTGTACGTAGGCGTCTCAGAGAGCCCTGCGTCTGCTCAGTCTGAGGAGTCTGATAGCAATGGTTTGTAGAGAAGCATCTAAAATAGCAGGTTATTCACAGTCACCAAGGTTCAGAGTCACAGACACTCATGGAAGAGCGCAGTGATCCTTCTCCCTCGGTGTGCCTCCTCCTGATAGTGGCAAACCTGCCAAATGGATAACTTATATCCTCCAAAGAAATGTGATTTTTAGAAAGCAAGATATGAACAATTTTCTTAGACGACGAGGCAGTAAAGGGTCTCTGGAGCATTTCTTGAGCAGGAAGAGGACACCACAGTTCCTAACACTGACCAGCCCTAGGCATGACCTGCACCTGCTCATTAGGCATAGTCCTGACCTTTCCAGGATACGAGGTGCCCCCTTCTGGCCCTGTGGACTTTTCAGAAAGGCTGTCTGGGCTCACCTTGATGTCCCCTCTCCTTGTGTTTTGCATGGTAATACATAGTTGTGTCCTTTTCAGGAAGGCTGTCTGGGCTCACCTTGATGTCCCCTCTCCTTGTGTTTTGCATGGTAATACATAGTTGTGTCCTTTTCAGGAAGGCTGTCTGGGCTCACCTTGATGTCCCCTCTCCTTGTGTTTTGCATGGTAATACATAGTTGTGTCCTTTTCAGGAAGGCTGTCTGGGCTCACCTTGATGTCCCCTCTCCTTGTGTTTTGCATGGTAATACATAGTTGTGTCCTTTTCAGGAAGGCTGTCTGGGCTCACCTTGATGTCCCCTCTCCTTGTGTTTTGCATGGTAATACATAGTTGTGTCCTCAGCTCTTAGGCTGAGGTTAAGAAAACTTGGCTCTTGGAGGTGTCCCTGCCAATACTGACTCAGGATTTGAGATCTGAATTTTCTCTGTGATTCCACTATTCACCATTGAACCCATCCAGTCCAGGCCCTTCCTGGAGATTGGCAGACCCAGTGCTTATTATAGCTGGTTATAGAGAATCCAGAGACAGTGCAGGTGAGGGACAGGATCTCAGAGGGTTTCCAGGCTAGATCCTGACTCCTGCAGCTGCACCTGGGACAGGACATCTGGCACAGGGAAATATCAGTCAGTCAATGACACCACAAATGCATGCCCAGTTCCGTCTTGAAACTATTGGGACACTTACAGTAGGGAGCAGTGACCAGGCTGAGGGGCAGACCCACAATAGCCATGCTTGGCATCACTATACGTGATCTAACATCCTTGTAACTGTCAGATCAATCCTTTAAAGATGAACAAACAGACCTCCAGCTTCCAGCCTAAGTAGCAGAAAAGCCATCCCTGAGGTGGTGTGACAAAGCCTCAGGCCAGCGCATGGGAAGTCCTGAGGCTGCACTTCAGGAAACAACTTGGAAATCAGTGAAGCAACCTGGTCCTGATGGCTCTGAGCTGATTCCCGAGCTTGACTGACGCCTTTCACAGTCTCTCTGTTCTTTCCTGTTGTTAAATCACGGCTGCCCAGGGAGTGAATTTGAAGAAAGTACCCACCATGGGTTGGCATTGTTGGTTGTAAGAAGACATGGATTGATAAATGAAAATCTTATTGTCAGTCACGTTATCTCGATTTGTGCTATTCATCAGGGAGGACCCAGAGGTACCCCTAAAACCTAAGTTATTCTCATTGCTCTTGGATGCCTACCGTAGGAACATGATAAGGCCTTATTTTTGAAGAAACCACTCACTTTGAATGTAGGATACAGAGAATTCAACCTTGAACTGTCCAAGAAATGCTCCCCCTGATTGGTAATATTCATCATGCCAGAAGGTGCTGTGGAGGCTGCTGGGGATAACATCGGCAGCAGCCTTGCCCTCCTCTGGACCCTACATGCTACAATACTGACCTAGCTAACAGGATGATCCCACTGGTACAATAGTGGCATTATGGTCATGTGGGTAACCAACCACTTTCTGACTGGATATGAGGCCTGATTCACAGTAGGGTGTTCATGCTGGGTACTCTAAACCTGGCCACAACTCATGACTGGGGAGATCACAGTCCATAGAGGAGAAGGTTCCGTTGTTTTGCTAAATGCTCATGCTGTCAAACCACACTCTGGATACTTATGTTTATACCCATAGATTGTGCTATCAACTTTGTTCAGACAAGGTGCTTTTAGCAATGATTATTGATGAATATATAGATATATAATCTGCTAAATTGTAAAGAATAAATAATAACGAGAGCTCAGTTTTAGGTGGGTCATCTGCATCAACCTCTCACAATCCAAGGTTCAGGGAACCCTGAAGCACAGGGGGAGGGAAGATTGTAAGAGCTGGCATAGGGTAGGTGTGCTGTGAAATCATCACCACTAGACATGAAATGGTTGTTGCCCAAATCATCTCATGGCAGCTGAGGTTACATGCATGAGGCCTGCACATGACCAAGCCAGTCAAAGTTAGAGCACGGGCACTAGAGAGATGGGTTATCTGTTGATAGTACTTAACACCCTTGCAGCGTTGCTGTGGGTTCATACATGCCATTACACTGTTACGTCTGGAAAACCATGTCCTTGTATTCGCCTACCACCTCTGACTCTTCCAGTATTTCTGTTTCCTCATCCACAGTGATCCCTGTGAAAGGAGAGGATGTGATAGAGGTAAACCTTTCAAGTTCGTGTAGTACGCATTCTTCTGTTTTCTGCATGTTGACCAGCTGTGAGTTTCTGGGTTGTCATCTGCTGCAAGAAGAAACTTCTCTGGGGAGAGTTTAGAGATGTAATAATCCATGTATATAGGAATAAGTCATTATGTTACTTAGTGTTAATGCCCATTTATCTGGATAGAATTAGCATTCTATCAACATCATGTGATCTGTTTAGGTAGTTTCTTGGCTCTGATAACAGTGATAGTCAAGAGTTCTGTCTTGTGACTTGGGCCTTATATCCAATCAGAAGTTGGTTGGTTACTACCATGACATTTATGCCACTGTTGCAAACGTGTACATATCTTGCCAGGCCAGAAGTCACTGGAGCTTGCAGGGTTCATAGATGGGTAATGTGGATGATTTTTTATCCCTCTGGTAGTGTGCATAGCACCAACCAACACTAAGAAAGCTAAGCAGAGATGAAGCTTTAAGGTCAGTAACACTTTGATTTCTCCATGTTTGTCCTATGATGCACATATGTATTGCCTTCAGCAATAGGGACTTTGTGTGAAGTTCTGGAGGGCAACCGAGAATATTGGCAATAATCAGTATTGTTTGAGGGTCTATGGGATCCCTATTG